TGAAATTTTCGCTTGCAACCTGTTGAGTTCAGTGGCGTCGTTGCAGCAGCACATTGCGTCCTTCACCAAACTTTGCTGGGTGTGCAGATGGTATTTTCGATTCAAAGCTGGCAAATGCAGAGGTGCCATTGCGCCCAGTGAACGGATGATTCCATTGCTATCAGAGCATTTGGCCTTGTTTCAATCTGTGTATGGTCGCCCCATGGTTCGCCCAAAACACCACTACAATTTTCATTGCGCCGAATCCATGGATATCCAGGAAGCAGTCCTTGACTGCTGGACCATGGAAAGAAAGCATCGTACGTACAAAAACACTGGGCGCAACTTCCCTTTGAATGAACATTTTGAGTCTTCTATGTTGGGAAAATTATTGATGGTTCAAGAGGAGCAACTCTGCGAAATGGATCAGGATCCATCGTTTAAGCCTTTAGGTCGTGATCAGGAATTGGCAAATCAAATTGGTTGTCAGACGGCATGGGTCAGCAAGTCGATGCGTTTCAATTCCCAAACATTTTACAAGGACGACGTGTGCCTATTCACACATGATGAACACCAAGCGGGCAAGGTCATCAGTTGTGTGTGCGCGGAATGGTCGGGTTCTTCTCAGCATTATTATCTTTTAGTCGAGGTTCTGGTTCGGTGCGATTCTGTTTCTACAGACAGGGACCCTTGGCATCTGAGTCAATGGCAACCCTGCGGGTCGAAGACTCTTGTAAATTTAGCCACACATGCTCGACAGCTTCTGTGGCCCTTTTTCTGGTGGTCAAAGTCCCACAAACTTTTTGTTAGTGTTTGACACGCGCCGAGAGAGGAAACATTTGCCTTTGGGAGTATTGTTTGAGAAAAAGGTTCAATTCAACACATTAGGTGTATTTGAGTCAATTCAAGTGATGATGTTGGTTTTATGCTTGGGTGACATTGGTAAAAAAACAAAACATTTTATCCAGGTTGCAAGAACGTGAATGTGTTGGTCACAACACAGTCGTTTGAGTCCACCACTGGTTCAAGTCTCGGTGCACTTGCTGTGGATTCGGCGTTTCCATGGCATACCCAATGATGCAGCTACTTTTTGTTGATGATCGAGTTGGTGATGAAGAATGTGAACTCATGAGGGAAGCTGGCCGTTCTCTGTTAGAGACCCTTGACCCTGCAAACCTCCACTTACAAACCTGGAAAGATTTCATCGTCAGCTGTGCAATCGCGTCAATGGCTCAGAAGTGCAATGCCCAGCTCTCCGATTTCCAGGACGTGACATTTGGCAGCTTGGTTCCCTACCTTGGCTCTACTTCATTAGCTCGACTTCATGCGCACCCTCGAGCTAGACTCCTTCGCGTTGAGTTGCCGCAGGTTGCTGCAAAACTGCGCTGTTTCTTGCTTTGGAAAGAGTATGAAGACATGCGCCCTGAGGTAGAACAGTTGCTTAGTGATCTAGACACTGCAATGAATGCTTTGTAATGAATGATACGTTGGAGACAATTTATATATTCAATCATCTAACTTATACAAGAATGATAATTGATATGCTGTTTGAGAGTATCAGTTGCAGAGTCATACCAGCCGTGCTGCATCCAGATGATCTATCAGCCGTGGACAAAAAGAAAACAAAACCAGCGGCCTTCGGGGCGCTCAGATGTTTCACTGCAACTGGCTTTGGTTTAGTTCACCAGCGGTTTTTCGTGCGCCGATGATTATTTTCATGTAGGTCTGTGCATATACATATATAGAAATATGTAAAATCTAGGATTTATATATGTACAACGCAATTGAAATAGGATAGCAGAGTGTGTCCCTTGCAGTGTGATCAGGATGTATCAGGATGTATCGGGATGTATCAGGATGTATCGGGATGTATCGGGGTAGCTTTTTTCCTAGCGGGAATGATGCCGATACATTGTGATACATCCTGATACATCCCGATACATCCTGATACCAGGGTGTTTCATTTGTTTCTGTTCAGGCTGCAAGATCATCAACATCACCAAATTTTGATCGCAGATCTTTGGCTTTGAGGGAAGTTGAAAAAACACAAACTCTACAGTTTGGATAGGCATAGCCCGTGGCTTAGCATGGCTAGCATGGCGCCAGTTGTTCCAGATGAAACCGAGCAGTCCGATGAACACGTTCCCCTCGCCAAAGATGGTCACGTACCAGGCTCAATGACAGATGCTCAGCAGTCTGGACATGAGAAGACCGACTCTGAGACCAAAGAGCAAGCGACCAAAGAAGAATCCACAGAAGAAAAGACACATGAACTTGTGCCTGTGAATATGGAGGCTGCAGATGCTGCTGAGCTTGCTTTGGCTGAGTTCATGGCCAGCGAGAGTTTGGCAGGAGCAACTTTAGCTGTTTCTGCCTCTCCGGTGACTGCAGTGGCACCTGATCCGATCTGGAAGAGTGTTGATGAGGCCTTCAAAGCGCCAACTTGCAGAAAGTGCTTGATGCCTTGCACCCTTGAGAACCTGGTCAACAAGACGAAAGCCGAAGGCCGTGTCAATGTGGTTTGCAAGGGTTGCAATTCTGCAACCACAATGCTCAGCAGGCGCCTTGGGCAATGGCCTGTCCCAGCTTTCAACGGCTTGACCCAGGACCAACAAGTTGGTTTTTGGAAGCAGTGCCATAACATCATCCAAAGACAAGGAAGACTTGATTACGGATCAATCAGGGCATGCTTGAGTATCTCCCTTGCAGAGCGGCAATCTGAAATTGCCAAGGCAAAGTTCACGTCTGAATATTTGCCACTCTCTGTTTGGACTACCCGTGGCTTCAAAGAAGAAGATGTTCGCAAAGGATTGAAAGAGGATCATCCTCTTCTGGGAGAGACGTTTGCAGTTCCATTGAAGACTGTTTCAAAGGAACACATTCGAGAAAGAGTTGAAGAGATGATTACTAATTTTGAAGCACAAGTGAGCAAGAAAAAGGATGCAAAAGCTTCAGCTTCACTGCCTGCTCCTTCTGCCACGGCTACTCCTATGGATGATGCAGAGGACACAGATCTCCTCAACATTACTTGGTTGGATGCAAAGTCCCCTGGTCAAAAGCGACCACTTGAGGACGAGCCACAGGAGGAGGTTCCTATTCCTGATCCAAAGAGAGAGCGGCAGATGGCAAACGAACTGCGGCGCCACAATACCGCCGTTAGCAAGTTCGCCCAGAAAGGCCTGGATGCTTTGAACCCATTGATGGGCGCCCTGATGAAGCATCAGGCCAACTTGGCCGTGCTCCCTGCTTCGTTGGTGAGTGACTTGAATGATGTGCAATCTGCCCTGGGAGAATTGATTTGCCAGTGTCAAGATGGTTTGAAGACACCTGGTGTCGATGAACGTCTACCTGATCTTCCCTTTGATTCAAAGTCCTTGGCTACCAAGACCAAAGGCTTCAAGCAAGTGTTTTCCAACGTGGATCGGATGATGAAACTCATCAACAAATCCGCCCCAAAGAAGAAGTGAGTTGGACACAACATGATCCAACGGTGATTCGATCGTATCATAGATTTCTGCGTTTGTTCAAGATCTACAAAACCAATATAATTTTCCATGCTGTTCACATGAGGAAACTATATCCAGAGATGTTGTCTTGTTGTCTGTGTCTTTTTTGTTCGGGGACACGGTCAGCCATCCTTTGGGGAAATTAGTCTTGTCTTGGCCCCTGTGGGCAGTCCAGAGGCCAATTGAAAAAAGAAGCGGCCTTCGGGACGCTCCGTTTCATTCAGTGTGGATGAGTTTGCAACGGCAGCTATGTGATAATCCATTTGCATTCCTTTGCATGGGTGATAGTATCTTTGGAAATCATTAACCTTATTATCCGAATATACCAAGAGAGGTCAAAAGGACAAACAAATCCAAACGCCGTTAAAGATCCTTAACGTCTTTTAGGTTGTTGTGTCCTTTTGACCTCTGTTGGTATATATATATACATATATACACAGAGGTTCAACATAAGCTCAACGTAAACTCAAACTAGCTCCAATATAGCCCAAAAACAATAGCCCTAATAACGGCACGGGAAGGCGCCAGTATGGGCTCAACAAAAGCATCTGTAAAGACAACATATGTAAAGAAATATCCACATGTTTTTAATCGACACAGCTCTTGGCTCTCACCTACCTGGTCCTGTCCACCTCGTTGCCCCATGGAGGCCCCTAAGGCTGTACCTGCCTCGCGGCAAAATCCAAATGGCAAGACAAAGACTGCCTCCAACTTGGAAAAGACGATCAACGTGCTGGAAAAGCAGACCGAACTCATCAAGAGATGCGTTACCCCAAGGTTGCTAAGACACTACGCACACGTGTCCAACAGCGATCCTCGTATGCACGGAAATTTGAAAATATGCTACCTTGTCTTGTTGTTTCCGTTGTTAGTAGTCTTCATTGATTCCCTTTTTGCCGCTAAGAACTATGACACAAATGAGAACTTGCTTGATGAACTGAGAGCAGAATTGAGAAGCCGTGGCGTAAAGTATTTCCCTCTCCACTGATGCAATATCATGTGGACATAGAGGTGCAAGCTCATGTTCTGTGACACCTTCGGTTGAAGATACTTGCGTATACATCTATACTAGTAACTACATTCATAAGCTATATTAGTGTTATCTATCTGCAACTCAACCGTGTTGCTTCTGTTGCAAGATGTCCTGCGCGTGATTTCAACCTTGCTGCGTTCACATTCGGTGCAACGGATCTTTGGCGCAGAGGATTGAAAAGTTTTGCTGCTGGCCGTTAGGTTTTTTTCTCCCAATATGTTTTTTCCACCAGCGCTCTCACTGAAAGCGATATTCAACTACATATTTCAACTGTGGCAATTTATATTATACAACCGTTTACAGCAATTCAAGCAAAACTATACAGATGAATTTTGACTATGGGGAAAGAGTGAATTCAGAGCTGTTCTCCGTTTGCTGCGAGATCCTCTTGATTGATGCTTGTGCGCTGGTCTTCTTTTTGTGAAGGTCCAAGTTTTAGTCGTCACCTTTTGGTTGTCAACTGCGACTGCATCCAGTGAGCCATGGACCAAGTTTGGCAGTGCAAGTTTGTGAAGAGTGAGTGCCACGACCCTCTTGAAACTTCAAGTTTGTTTGCTACTTCGACGGGCTGGGGCAAGTTGGGGCCCACTGCATCTGAGAGGTGCCAAGCTGCCATGCAGAACCCTGTGCCTGGCATCAACTACTTCATGACACTGGCCCCGATGATTTCTTACCGATTTCATCTTGTCGGCCATTGCCCTGAGGGACTGACTTTGTGCAGGTTCCGCACTGATCTAGCAGCTGGGGTTCGGTGCATCGCGAAGCCTTTGAACAAAGCCACCTCGCAGATCAGCGTGGACGTGGTCCCTGATGTCTTCAGCAGCCACTGCACAGTCCACTTCTACTCTATGGGCGGAGACGAGAAACTGGTCATTCGCAACAAGACCATCATGTCCAGATGGGGTCCTGTCCTCAAAGATGCTGCAAAACAGATGGGAAGAACCAACCTTGAATATCGCTATATCAAGTTCATTACCATGGAGGGAGTGGAGATCAAGGACAACTACCATTATTGGAAGCTTGGTGATGATTTGCGTAGGTCTGTGCAACAGGCCAGCAAAATGGTCCGTAGCAAGTTTTCCAAGAAGTGAACTGCTCAATGCAAAGTCCATCCCATTTGCATTCAAGCCTTTCGGCGCTTGGATTTTGGCAGCTGCCTTCGGGACGCTCTGTCTGTGTGTTTGTGATGAGCGCAGGTTCGTTTCCAGGTATTCAAGCAAAAAAGGCACCGACTGTGATGTTGATTCGGTACTTGATGAGCAAAGAGGTAAATCTTGCACGCAATCATTGTTTAGGGGGAGTGCCAAACTAAACCAGAGAATGTGCAAATTCAGACATTGAAGCGAACATTGTTTTCAAACCCACACCTGGACTGGATGTCACATTTTCGCCGCAGGAAACACCAGCAGATCACAGGTAGAAATTGAACTTTTTGACATATGGATGAGGCACACAGTGTATTCTTTGACGCAGTGATATTTGACAACAACACTATACCACCATGTATCGAATATATGGTGTTACACAAAAATATGTTAGTGACACTAGTCACTTTCTCTTAACTTCGTAGCAACGTCTGAATTTGCCATTCGCTGTGGTTCGGGATGGCCACTGGAACGCGTCACAAGAGACACAAAGAGGAGAACACAGTACCTGGTCGAAACATTGAGCATTTTTCATTTACAGCTGTCCAAGAAAGATATGTTTGGGATATGTCTTTTTAAACACCCCTCTCACGTTGACTTTGCTTTCCTGCAGGCCAGACCAACAGATCCAAGAAGAAGAAATGATGTCACTGACAACTTGCCACCATGGACTACCAATGCGCCAACTATAGAGATTACTATTGGAGCAAAGGACTCTGCCTCCTCCATTGCAGACCACGGAAAGCGCGATGCAGCTGGCACTTTGCTTGTGGATGTTGCCCTTTCGGATGCTAGCCATGGTGATTCCAAACCTGTGGAATGTACTACGCACAATGCTGCGATTGCCTCTTCCCGACCTACAAAGGACTTTTTTTGGGGGGTGAGGGTGGAAATTGATGATTTACTTTGTGAAAATCAAGTCAAAGCCGCAGACAACTCATTTTCCTTCAGTGTGATCATATCCATGTTCGAGATCATATATTGCTGTAGATGTCCAAATATGTGTTTTGGGACACCTATATATTCATATTGGTATAGAACTTGCCCAGATGGAGGAAGATGTTTTCAGCATGCAATGCCTTCACAACTACTTCGGCTCTTTACAAATCCGTCTTGCTATTGAGTGCACATATTAGCCAACAACCTAGATCCTTTAACCTGTGGTTTGTTCAATGTCAATGTTCAAATTGCACCTACTCCTTGAGTCAATTTTGATCCAATCATGTTACCGTCCCAACTTTGCACCTACCCAATTTTGGGAGCCCCCTGTTCGGTGTGAAATCCAGGATGAGCCCATGACCTTGGAGCAGATGTGGAATGACAAAGGTACACATGTAAGTGAAGTGACAAAGGAGACCGAGGAGACCAATGATGTTGCTCCAGAGATTCCTTTTGGCGAAGAAGCACTTTTTCATGCGTGTCCAAAAAAATCTGCGAGGCAAAGGACTCGCGAAGTTTCAGGCCGTAATCGAAAACGCGGCGGCGCTCATAAGCAGTACTTCGAACGGTGGGCGTACGAGCCCGATCCTAGCAAACGTAAGTTTCAAAGCATGTGAGAGAGAAAAAAAACGGCCTTCCGGCCGCTCCGTCTGCGTCAGAGAGCTTGTGTGTGTGTGTGTTTTGTTTTGTTTTGTTTTCTTCTGATGTAGTCAGCGTCCTGTCGGCCGCTCAAAACATTACCCTGGGGATATGTTGTTGTATAGTGTCCGTGCATGTATCTGTTTCTTAAATACGCAGTACATGCAAACATTCATTTTTCCCAATTAATATGCGACTTACACAGTCAGTACATATATACTATACAGGCGCTTGACCAAGTGTACATGTAGCAAAATGATCAAGTGTTATATTTATACTGAATCCCTATGTGCAGTTGAACGAGTATTCATGCGCTGTGTCTTGTTTACCCACATTTCCTTCTTTACTCCTTCCTTTGGTTTCTTTGCTCCCCTACTTGTTTTTAACTATTTCTACTTAATTTTAACTAAATTTAGCTAAATTTAGCTAATTTTTAGCTAATTTTTAACTAAGTTTAACTATTTTCTACTTATGATACTTATGTTATAAGTTCCATAAGTTCACATTAAGTAACTCAGCTGGCCTCAAGTAGGAACTAGTCACAAAGTATAGATTGCTCAAGAAAGTTTGCCTACTTAGGCGCTACATACGGAAGATATCGCTAAGAAGCATATGTATTTTTGATACAACTTAGGGGACATATAGCTATGTGCCCTAAGTTCTTCAAGTTGTGATGTCGGAGTTGGCAAAGTGTACCACCCACACTTAGAATGCCACCAAAACAGGGATTGTCGCAACATCTATTTGCCCCTACAAAGGGCCTGCATAGCACTTAATGTTTGGTCTACAGCTTATTCCCTGCGCCTGTTGGGACTCCTGTGTGAAGAAGCACAAACTTAGTGTTGTAAGTGTAGGTGGGGTACTCTTGTAAAGTACTGAACTGCAGAAATGGAGCGGCCCCCCCATATTAGATACCCATATAGGTTCCCAACCTCAAAAACCTGGGTCCGACCGCCGACCGCCCCGCCACGGCCGTGCGCCGCGACGGGCGGCGGTGGAGCTGTGGCAGCCTGCGGGAGCAGGCCAGCCACACCGGGGAAGGGAGAGGGAAGGGAGAGGACTGCAGATGGAGAGGCATTCTTCGATTCTACCGCTATTTATATATATATATATATTTGATCGACTTCTACGGTTTTTTGTATGTCTGGACGAGTCCCTTCCAGTTTACTTTCTTGAAAGGTTTTCTTTGGGGTCTGGCAGGAATTGAGGGATGCCGCTTTTTGCAAATGCGAGTTTTCGAGTCGAAGCGGATGAGCAGGGCAATCAGTGCTCGCTCCAGCAGGGCTTCCAGCTCGCTGTGATAGGCTCAAGAGAGGGTGCAGAAAAAGACATCCTTTGCGAACAATGGACGCCGCAGTGAAGGCAGAGGTTGCGGCAGCGCTTGAGAAGTGCCAGAAATCAGGGCTGGCGCAGGGGGTGAATCTGCTGTACGCGTGCCTTGAGAGGCACTCCATGCGCAGGTTCACGCGCATCGAACCGCACCTGATTGGCACTGACCCACACAATCGAGATGGTTTTGGGATCAGTGTGAAGGACTGCCATGACCTGATTCGTTCGATCACAGAAGTTGGCTTCTGCAGTTCTGAGACGGCTCCGGCTTGCGCGGAGCTCGATCCGCTTGACCGGGAGCCACTCGCCTTCAACGAAAGGCTTACAATGGAAGCGCAGGGCTACTTGCCTCCATGCCCTCACATGAGGTTTACGTCACTGGCAGGGTCCCACCTCGATGCCGGTCTTCGATGCATTGCAGCAGGGTGTAAATCCGACATTGCAGAGCTGGTGCACTCATCAGGCCGCCTGAGCTTGGATGTGATCAAGGACATCGACCCTCTCTACGCAGAAGCAGTCACAAGCGGACTGCGTTGGCGGGTCATCAGCTTTGAACCTCTTCGAGAGTTCCCAGAGATGAAGGGCCTAATCCAGAGCGCTTCAAATGCCAGTGGGCACCTGGCTAAAGGAGAGCACGAACTCCAGCTTCTAAAGCTTCTAAAGACTTGAAAGACTCCCTGCTGCGTAGCAAGCCAGTGTGCGCTCCTGCAGCACCCTTCATGCACCGGTTCATTGTGAAGTTCTCAGCCGGAGCTCCAGGTTTGCTTGACAGGGTGGAGAAGGCAGTCAAGCAACAATGTTCCTCAAGCAAGCAGCTTGGGGGTGACTTCTTCGAGGCGCTGTGTTCAGAGGGCAAAGGCGTCCAAGATTTGATGATCGACTTGAGACACGCTTCTATGCCTGAATGTGTTCCATTTTGCTGAACTCTCTGCGCGTGTACCAGCAATGCACTATTTCCCTTTTCTCGAGACAAATGCCAAACTATCAACGACAAGGTTTGTCTCAGAGGGTTCACCTATTCATGTTTTGGTGATTGACCTTGGAAATGACAGCGGCGGCCAAAACTGATACAGCCCAGCCACTTACTTCAGAGCGTGCAGCTCCCTAAATATATATATATACAATATATGTATACACCTACACATGTTATATGGTTGTAAAGTAGATTGTGTCACCTTAGGCTTTGCTTGGGGCTGCCTACATGAGCCCGAGCCCGCTGAAGATCACCCCGCAGGATGTGAAGCGAGCGCTCACCAGTCGAGAGTTCAAGCCACAGGCTGACAAGGCCAATGGCCTGATTCGGCGCTGCTGGTCACTGGTTGAGAGTCACGGTGCTTGCGACCCAGGTGTGCACAGGTTGATGGCGGAGTTCGAAACAGACTTGGTGCTAGCTATGCTTGGGAAGCGACACAGTGAGGTGAAGATCTCTGATTGCCAGGAAGCTGCAGCCTGTCGGCTGATGGACAAGCTTGAGACTGCCAAGCATGTTCGTCTTTGCTCAGAGTGGGACGCCTTCAAGGAAGATTGCGCTGATGCCCCCAAAGAAACGACAGAGACAAATACGAGCCCTAGTGTTTGTTAAGCGCAGTCACTTTTCTATTGGCATTCTATTCATTGACTTTGGTCTGTTGGTGATTGGTGGGGGGTTGGGGTTATGTTCCCAGCAGCGGTGCCAAGGATCAGGCGATTCAATTCCGATGGCACGGTGGAGCCTTCCCAATTCGCTCGAGAGGCTGGTTTTGAACCAGGGGTCTACATCCAGCGCAAAAAGGATCAAACGCTGGCTCGGATCAATTCCTTTTCCAAGGACAATGTCCTTGTTGAGGTCGAGGATGGTCCCATCTCGGGGCAAGCAACCTTCAAGATTGCAACATTGTTGCAGGGGGGCTGGAAGGTGGTTGAGCGAAAAGCTGAACCTCAGGACGTCGAAGGCTTGACGGATTTGCTGCCGTTGAGTTCCCCAGCATTCTTGGCTCACTGCCTGCGCGGGCAGGTCACGCAGGCCTTCTTTGACCTAGAGGCAGCTCATCACCATGCCC